CCTGCTTCCCCAGGGATCTGGAGGGGAATCACTGCTTCAACACCCAGGGCACCACCACCACCTTCTCCTCCTCCTCTGCAACTTTGGGATCTGCAGGGTGGTTTTCACACTGCTTCTTTCCTCTCACTCCTTTCTCTCTCTCAGCACAGCTTTGCACACCTACTTCTATTATAGACACACAGGGCAAATCCAAATACTGGGTGAAGCAGGAGTTTTCTGCAAAATTATTCCCTCCTCCCAACTCTTCCTGGAGCTGTATATTGGAAGCAGGAGCATCTTTGCCAGTGTTCACCAGCCAGAGGAAAAATCCTGACGTGTAAATCAGACTATCCACAGTATAGATGGTGTCTCCTCTCCTCCTCTTCCTTTCAGCACCTTGCTAACTCCAGTTACAAATCCTCAATCAATGTGTTCTCAGTCTGCAGCTGCTACTTTTCCCTGTTTCCATGGCTTGAGAGGAAAAGGATAATTCTAGAAGTATCAACTACTTACAGCCAGCCTTTGCCCTACTCAGAGGAGGACCAAAGAACTTTCCTCCTTACTTCATACAATGCAGGGAAAACAGCAGCAGCACTTGCTTTATGGAACATACAAAATGGAAGCAAATAAACATGACAGCACTCTCCATAAAGAAGGAGCAATCCTACAGATACCATGTTCTCTCTCACATGTCTGTCCCTGTGTGACAGTTTTCTGGATTCCAGCACATGCCATTTGTTTGGACAAACCCCTTCCGAGAGGCCTGCCCAGTAATGCAGCAGACTGAAATCACCTAGAGGAGGTGCTATTCATTTTAGAGAAAAAGAGAATTTTGTATTTTATGTGTGTTTATGTGTAATTTTGTACATTATGTGTTTGTAGGACCTGGGAGGACACCTCCAAAATTCCTTAATGACTAAGTAATTTTGTGTCCCAAAGGCAGAAATACTCTCAGAGTGAAAGCCATCCTGCAATGTGTCACATAAGGAGGTTCAGTAGCACTCAGGCTGCCTCCTGGTCTGCCCTGTTGCCTCTGGCCCCCCTTCCTTGCTGTGCAGCAGCTCATTCTGATTATCAGGACATGCTGGGCTGCAGGGACAGACTGCTGGCCTATAAAGGTCCCAGCCATAAAACATCTCTGTTTCAGGTACTTTGGTGGAAAGCTGAAAGAACTCCTGTCAAGCAGAGCTGTGGATTAAACTACACATAAAGCAGATTCCTCTTCACTGGGGGCTGTTAGGAATGACCTCCTGGACATTCTAAAGGACTACTTAAATCACTGCAGTCCAACATGAAAAAATACTAAAAAGGCTTTATTCTATGTCTGTCCCTCAGCTTTGGTATATTTTTTTTAATAGTTGAGGGAGATTACTTGAAAATGTGGCCATATTATACTATACTGTATAAATACCACACTGTAGCCACATTCTGGAAAAAAATGCAGCGCCTTGCAGGATCCAGACACACTGGCCCTGCATCAGCAACCAAATGATAATGCTGTTTTCTATCATCCATTAACAGATTCAGTATTTCAGTAGTTCTTGATACAGATTAATGCCCTACATGGCACATTAAAACTTTGTTTCCCCCAAATATTGGTGTATGTAGCCTACCTTCAATGTAGTCCCTTTGAATTCAGTGATACTTCTCATTTAGAGACAATAACTTGAGCAGAAGGGTGTAGGGTCACAGAAATGTAATGGTTGTACATAGCAGCATAGTTACTGCTAGAATAAAATAATAGTTTTGAAATTATTTCAAAGACTTCATGTAAATTGCTGCAGATTACTCAATAAAAGAGTGACCAAATGATCCATACTTGTATGATTAAAACCTAAATGTTTACAACTTGAATTGACCCATACCATATATTTGTTTATATTCCTTTTTCATCCTGTTTAGAGTATACAGGCTTATGCAGATCTTTAATACTAAAAACAAATCAGAACTATTTTAGCCTCTAATCTCTCTGATATTTACTGAGGAGGGAACAAGGAATGTGTCTGAAAGGGTCTGGCTGCTAACCAACCCCTCAGCATGTATGGCTGAAGCAGGGTGGTTAAAAACCTGAAACTGGAGAGCCACTGTGGGTCTTTCTTTGTGAGTTTAAATCCTACCATCTATGGAATGGTAGCAATCCCAGCTACTGAAAGTCTCCTGCAGCATTTCCAAGGTTATCTGTTTCTGTAGGGTTAGAACTGCCTTTGGGGAGAGGGGGGTGCAGAATAAGGTGCAGAGGAAAACAAGAGTGGTACCTGGGAAAAAGAATGTTGGTTTTTTTTTTTCCCTTTTGAAACAAAAGATCAGTTTTCCCAGTGGAGCTTGAAATCTAAACATTTTCCTTCTTGTTTTGTTCCAATTGGCTCACTTTTTCTGAGTCCTTAGAACTCTCCCATATTTAATGGGTGACTCTCCTCCAAAGCCAAAAGGAAGCAGATGTAAGGCCTGCAAGGGCTGCAGTCTTAACACACTGTAACACCAGCTGCGAGGATTAAATTGTCATCTTATGTTCAGTGCTGGCAAAAGCCGAGTATGTGACAGAGATTGTGACAGTGGATTGAATGTCTGCGTGGCAGTTACTTTGAATATCACTCGTACCACACACATCAAGCCAGTCGGCACATTAGTGCCTGTGACTGGGATCAGTCTGAGCAGTCATTACATTGCCTTTCTTCCTTCATCTTGTGTGCTGTCACACATTGCAGCACTCCCTCCTACAAAACAGCATGCCTCCCAAAAGCAGGTTTTAGTTCCACACGCCATGTGGCACAGGGGATCTGTCTCTCCTTCTTGCTCAAGGACACGGTGCTGGCTTCCCAGACAGTATTTGCAGGTGAGACTCAGCCTGGGTGTGAAGCGGGCTGCTCCCAGGCAGGGACCTCTGGCCAACAGCAGGGCTGGTGCAGAGAGCTCAGACAAGGACCTGGGAAGACACCTCCAAGCCAGGGCAGCACCTGGGGATGTGCTTTGGCTCTTGGCACAGCCCATGATCTGCCAGCACCATCCACGTCAGTTCCAGTTACCGTCAGCCTGTAAATCCCAGCAGCTGAGGAACCAGCACACATTCACTGCTGCTGTCTCTCCTCCATGGTGGCCATTCCTGGCAGAGAGGCAGCATGGACAGCTGGAGGTGGCAGCTTCTCAAACTACTCTAGCTTGCACTGCCAGGGCTTATCATCTGTGCACAGAGAGAACTCCAGCAAAAGTTGTTGCGTGGCTTTACAATTTTGCCTGTGGATGAAGTAGCAAAATCCAGAAAAATTGTGCTGGCATGGTACAGCTCACCAAAAGAACCTAATGTTCCTGCATTAACTCTTCACCCTTTATAAAACCAACTTATGCTAAGGAGTCCTTAGCTGCTAATAGTTATTCTGTCAAGTCAGGGCTCTAAAGCACACAGACTTTCCCTGCATTTTTGTAAACTCACATTCATTTTTAAAGACCACACAGCCCAGATGCTGTCAGAAGGACATTGGATGTTACATGAACCCAAGTGTGATTCAAGCCTGAGAGCTGTAAGGCGGAGTTGTTCCAGTCTGCCTCTAGAATTTGCCATCACTCTCCCACCTTTAGAGGGGTGGTTTTTAAGCTGATAGACCAGAGATCAGTGGCATCAGTTTTCTTGATTTCCTTGCCACTTTCTGAAGCTAAACCAGCAGTTGGTACTGGAGTCTTGGCACTCAAGGTCTGAACCTCATTAAGCTGAAATTCGGGTTATGTTATATTCTTTTTAAATGCTCTTTTTTGCTGATTCTCTCTCCATTGCCAGAATGAAGCTGATTATTAGTTGCATTTCCATCCTGCATGACACACTATGACAGGTAGCAGAAAATACTCATCTGCACATGTTTTATGATTCAAAAACTAGAGGACACCAGTCTGCAGATCCTGCAGCAAAGAAATCAAATGGATTATGTAGTGAGATTATACATCATCATTTCTGTACTGTGCCCTTCCCACAGGTATGCTCACTGGGTTTGGGATTTTTTAATATTATTTGATTCAGATGATTTTCTGTTTAACCTTTTTATTTTTTGACTGAAGCAACAGACGCAGTTCCTTAATCCTCTCCTTAAACCTTTGCTGGTAGCTACTAAGTGGTGTTATTTATAGCCCAGGCAAGACTGGATGGTTTATTATAATGATGACTCAAGCCTATGCATCTGTATAATTATTGCCAGGACTACTGGTGCCATGTTGTGAGGCTTATAAAAAAGTGCTGAGAACCTTTACTGGTTGTTCCTCAGCTTTCTTGTCTTTCCTCTGTCCTGGCCAACTTCAAAGCAATAAACACTTGAACCTTCAGGACTCTGACAAATCTGGACAGGGCACAAACTTTGCAGCAGTTCCCTCAGCAGAAGCAGTTCACCAAAGTGGAATGCTGAGGGGAGAAAAAAAGAAACTCTCTTGGTTTTCTGGTATTTTTGTTCTTCTTTTGCACTGCTTTGGTAGCAATGAGGCATTCTCTCCACAGACAATTTGGGCCAAGAGGTGTCTGTGTTTGTGCAGAGTCTTGGTAACATTGGGCTGAGTCCTGAAAGTTCAAGGAAGCAGTTTACTGTCACTGGATTTTGATAGAAAAGCTCAAATGCTTTCAAGTACCAGAGATCCCAAGGCAGAATTTCAGCACAGGTGATGTGGCCTGGCAGCTGGTGACCCTCTGACTGGCAATGGCATGTGGATGGACCTGGCTGTTAGAAATGTGGTTGTGGGACATTCCTGGCTTTTGGGCATCAGCTGCAGCAAAGGAAAGCAGCTCTGAGAACCAGAGCAGGGTTCCCTGGCGCCTTCAGAAATGTTAGGTTGTATTGTTCATACATCCTCAGGATTAAGTGATTTAAGTAGATTTTTTGTGCTAATGAAATTTTCTTCTGACTATAATCTGCAGAAACTGTGGGGGAATTTTGTCTTTCTCTGTAGCAAGAGGAAATTCTCCTCCCATGTTCCTGCAGTTTGTTGTAGTTTGTCTGCAAAGACCACCTGGCCTGAGTGGGAGGTCTAGAAAATGAGCAGCCACAATGCACAGAACACATCTTTTATTCAGTAAGCAAGCAAGCACAGAAGTATAATGTGTAGTGCTTAATATTCATACAGTACTAAAAATATAAAAATAGAAATAAAATTTCACTGAAAGCATTTTCACTCACAAATATACAAGGAAAAGTGCTGTCAAGCCACATCATGCTACACCACTTGCCAGTGCTGAACTGACAGTTTCCCAACAGAACTGAAACACTAAAAACTAGTCCTTCCTCATAGTTTTTGGTGAGCCTGAACATTTGACTAGCAAAAAATGGGCCTCCTGCAGCTGAGAACCTAAAAAGCATAGATGTCATTTCATAATGGAACAATAAAATAATTTGGGAGAGTTCTGTAGTGATAGTAGCCTCCTTCAGGCTGTTTGTGTAGAGACCAAAAAAAGATAAGAGAAATAAACTTGAATCCTGATTATAATCCAGATCAGTCATGGCTAACAATTCCTGGAACGTATTGTGCATGGATATTTGTGCAATACTCCCACCTGCTGGCATATCCATCAACTCTCTTCCTCGGATGCTGCAGTTCCCTTTGCCTGCTTTACACTGGCACAGATCTCCCCCTTAGGCCTGGTGGAGTCCAGGAGAACAACCCATAAGCAGTGCTAAGTGCCCTCAACTTTTAGTGGAACTGGAGCTTTTTCAGCACCTTAACTTTTGGGGCTGCCCTTACAGGGAGAAATTCACACAGCAAAGTGACATGGGTTGGAGACTGATTTTTCAGGGAAGTCCCTGCACCAGATTCCTGGCTTTTAAGCCCCATTTCGAGGGAGTGACCTAGAGCTGAGGGCTTAAGAATCTTCTATCTGCTGTCCCTGGGCATGGAGCTGAACTGCCTCCATCAAGAAGTCAGCTCTGAGCTGTGTCCATAAAGGCATGGGTGGGATTTGGGATCAGGCTGACAATCACAGCTGTAAATCAGAACAAGCCCTGTCTCCCAGAGTGTGCCAGTGCACAGAACCTGCTCAAATCACACAGATAAGGGTGTGCAGAACCAAATGTGAACCCCACTTGGATTAGTTCCTATTTTGGAATGGGATTTATTTATACTTGGCTTTACCTGCTATAAAAATAAATGTGACAATTAACCCCTGAGATCATTCTAGCATACTGTTTTGGCCTGTTACTTGTTTCCCTCAGAAATAAATTTTTATTTGGTTTACGGATGTTCATTTCGGTTCTAGTGACGAGCTTTTATAAAACACATTAAATAATCAATGTGGGGCTGAAAAGGTGTACATTCTAGTTGCATATATTATACATACCTTATACCTATATAATACATTCCATAACAGCTGCATGTTCTAGTATTGTCTGAGAAGTTCTTGCATGTGGACAAAGGACTTAAATACTAGAAGATAAACAGCTGTTCAGGATCAAAGATAATTGCATCTGATATGGTTTACTTAGATTGTTTTTCTTTCTTTAAATCTTATTACACATAATAGCTACAGTAGTTTGTCCAGCAGGTAATAAATGAATGCATAAAGCACTTCTAGCTATATCTGGATATCATATGCATGCATTTTTTATAAATAAAAATCAAATGTGAGGTCACATTTTCCCATCTTCTGTTTATAAACTAAATCAAATTTCTCATTCATTGAAACAGTGAAGATGTCTTTCCATAGCCCAACTCGTCCTGAAACACAGAGAAAGAATACAGGTCAGAGAGTGGATGTAACAGGACACCAAATACCTACAGTCTAATTGTGCTGGGCACCAAGTATCAGCTGTGAGATTCTGATCAGTCGGGGCTTTCTCTGAAAGCTTAATGAGACCTAAAGCTGTTCATTGTCTCACCCAGTTACTCTGGCACTATGCTTGCAAAGCCTTCAAATAAAACACATCTTCAGCTGCACTAGCCTAGTGTCACACAGGAAGAATTCATATTTCTCTGAGACATTACTCTGGCCTTAATCAGACATGAACAGAGATTTTGGGTTGGGTGCTCACTTGAATGCGGATTTCTTCTTTCAGTGCAAGCTATGGCTGTTTAATAATTCCAACAGCTAAGAACACATTACAAAATCACCATGCCTCTGGCACCTACTGCTTAGAGAACTATCCAAAAGGCACAGAGAATGTGGGGTATAAAACTGACTATTGGAGTATAATATTTTCATTGCTAATTTCTATTATTTTGTGTCTAGAGATAAGTCCAACAGATGAATTTCCATTTCTCAACATGGAGATATTTGTTTGTTAAATACAAATTTCCATCTATGAAAGAGAACAAGTGCCATGTACTCAAGTTGAGCCACTGACACTTTAATTTTGAACAGGAGGAACAGCTTTTGGGGGATGCAATATGGACACTGAGCACCTTCCTCATATGAATTAACCTATGGAACCCAACCAGTGACATAACATAACCTGGTGACCCTGCTGAACCTACCAGCCAAAGGCAGGAGCCCCCCTAACAACTGTTTCAATGCAGCCCAAAATATATTTAACTCAAAGTCAGCCAGGGTTACTTGTGGCTGAATAAGCCCCATGGAATAACCAGACTGAGAAGACCAATTCTCTTCTCATTTATGCTGGAGATAAAGACAAAATCCAGACTTGTTCAACTGGAATAAATGAAAGGAGAATTGGGACTGTGCTACCAGAGTTTCCTCATAACAGCAAAAACAAAGCTACATGCAGGGAGCTTAATTATGTATTTGATGCATAAGAAGAATACCCATTTAATTCAATTATCATTGCTTTTATGCAGAAACTATATAACTGAGACCAAAGACAAAACTGTCTGAAACATCTACATATTACTTATTAATCTGATGGTATAGCATGTGTGGCAAGGGCCATTTTATGAAAGCAGGGCTTTTGTATAAATCCTGAAGGTATGAAAGGGTCCTGATTTCTTTTCAGGATCCAAACACCAGAATAACCTGACACCGAAAATGCCATTTATTGTTTTCAACAATTTTCTCACATATTTGTAAAAGAATAAATTAAGAAAACACAATCATAAATACCTGATACTAACTTAAATCTTGCTCCGGCAACTATAACAGCAAAAAGTACAGCACGAAACACAAAACCCTGTTTCAATAATGAAAATAAAGTATTTTCTTCCTCTGCTTGGCAAAAAAAAAATTCTTTAATTTCTGAGTCTCCCTAAAAACATATATGGACAAATGACAAGTTCTACAAATGACATACATACACAGTGGATTGTTTTTAATAATTCTTTTCTTTTTTTACCATATCAATTGATAGCTTGTCAAAAAGTCACCCACCTGGTTTATGATTTGAATCATGCAACTGCGTAAATTATGATGTGATAAGAGTCAAATACAAGTAACATATCTAATCATTGTTCTGCTTTCACAGCAGTTCAGGATTATCTTCAGAGTAAAGATCAATGTGCTAAAAGAAAAAAAATATGAAGAACTAAAATAAAGCAAAATAATAAAGTAAATGTAACTAATGACAAATTAAAATATTTGAAACAAATTACAATCAGCTGTCATGTCATTGCCACCATTCTTTGTCACAGAAACGAACAGAGAAAGAACAAAGCACTGCTAATGAAGCTACATTCTGGAGTAACAAAATATTGTAAAAGCCAAAGACAGCAAAGAAAAGAAATTCAAAATAAGGATATTTATACTAAAAAGCACACAGCGAACAAATGACGAAGCATCACATTAATTGCTGCAGCTCCCTTCCTTCTCTATTACAACATGAGGGCCTTTTCTGAAACATATGTAGACAGTAGAAATAAGAGGCTACATGTGGGCCAACAAGTAGAACACAACCCTACTGTTTGCAAAGCCTTGCATCCACATGAGCACCTTATCCAAGGACCTGGGGATGTCCCAACCAAATGTGTGATAATTGAATAAACAACCAGCTAACACAGAATTAGTAGTCAAGAGGAACTGGTAATATTTGGCATTTTCATCAGTGATTTGAAAATAAAAATAAAAATTTATAAAAATTGCAGCTGGTATAACTTGCAGATCACAGGAAGGCTGGCTGAAAGTGGTAGTATGGAAAGGGCTCCTATACACAGAAGAAGACCAAAGTATTCCTGTCATAACCCCTGAGTAAGGGACAATAACCTGCAAATTGCTTCCTCTGAGAAACTTTGTGGTGACGATAAACATGTACTTCATGTGTGATGCTCTACCATAAAATGCTACCACTGCTATGGGTGGAAAACAAGGGAAAGGTCCAAGTAGAAGTGGATTAAATTAGTGTATGAAGTGATTTTAGGTTAGGGTAAGGCATGTGCAGGGGTAACATAGGAACTGACCATCTTGACTTGGTTGCCTCATTTTTAAAAGTGATGTAGAGCAGCCCACAGAAAATAATCTGAGGGAGCCTAAGTTCACTCTTATGTTTTTCAAAGGCAACTGAAAGGACTTGATTTCTTATCAAAGGACAGATGTATTAACAGATCACATGGCACCTTCAGGTTCTTAGAGAAAGAATCTCACCAGAATAAACATCTGGAAGATAAGCACATTTTAAACAGCTGAGGTAAGAAATGAAAATAGGCTTATAAGGGACACTGTAGTTCCTTGTAATTTTATGCCTTCCAAATAAGAAATATCTGCTATTCTTGAAAATCCTGATCTAATTAAACCCTAGGGCTCAGGCCAGGACAAACTGTGTAAGATGGTGTGGGCTCTGGCATGCCAGAGGTCAGAAGGAGCAGAGCAGAGCTCTCAGCACAAGGAGCTGAATCCATCAAAGTGAGACAAACTTTCTGATGGAGTGGCTTGACATTACCCTGTTCATCTTGGATTCTTCCATCCTTTTCAGTCACTCTTACCTAACCTGATTTCAAAACAACCCAGCCCCCCAATTGCACCAACAATCAGCTCCCTCCCATCCTTTACATGGCAATATTTTGCCAACATCTAACACACCCTGGGGGTTACTGGCAACCTCTCCAAGAAGAGTTTTGCTGTGGGTTTTAAACATACCCCTGCCAACAGGAAGAGCCTCTGCATTACAGCACTGATCAATGAGTTGATGGCAGTGTTCCACCATGGATTCCAGCTGTGCTTTGTCATAAGAAACTCCTAAGAACCTCACCAGCTGCTCAACCATTGTCGCTAGGTCCTGCAAGAGACCATTTAAAACGCGGGTTATTTTAATTATATAATTAAAATCACATTTTTAATTAGTTTAAATATTGCAAAGTAAGTTATATCCTGGTGAGCATGAAAAATACAAGTGCAGAAGTTGCAGAAACACTACTGCATTGAAGTTTTGCCACCTTCCAATTTGCTGAAAAGAAACACATTCTGAACAATTAGAGTAAGACAGGCTGGCAGAAAGCATGGCCATGTAACCTTCAGATGTTGGAACAGGGAACAACTGAAAAGTAGTTGTGATGCTTCCCACTTCAGGGAACACCCCACCCTGATCCCTTTGGAATACCAGTGCATTTCAGAGGATTTAAAAGTTACTTTGATTTTGACCTTAGTCAAATAAATGACTAAAAATGTTAGGAGAGCCCTTCTTCCTTTGTCAGCTTCTGGGACTGCATTCATGTAGATGGGAAGGATCTGGGGAGGTGGCCTCTGAGAATAACCATTAATTTACATCTCTAGAGTTCCAGGGTTCCTCAGTATGAGTTGCAAGGACAAAATAGTAATTTTTATCAGGAAGCAGAAGGATGCTGTGATGCCACCATCTGGTGAGCACAGCTAGGAATCCATTAGTTATTCAAAACCATGGAATTGAAATGATTTTGACTAAACTTTATTTACTCTGATTGTATTACACCTTCTTTTAGAATCCCACTCCATCAGAAGGCTCATTAAAGCTGGAATTATAATTTACCCAGCTTTACTGAGTCTTGTCCTGATTTCTTCTTCTTACAGGTTTAGAAACAGGACCTGGGTTTTGCCTATGTTTGCATTAGTTGTCCAGTCAAATAAACATTCTGAAGTATTTTCATTAGCTGTCAAAAAGATATTACTGCAACAAGAAATACATAGTATTTCTACTAGATTTCTGATTTAAGTGGATTTCTTAGCCAGAATACTGTAAGGACTCAATAATTATATCTACCTTATGCTACATGATCATACCCTCATTGTCTTCAGATTTGTTTCACAGAAATCAGTAAGAACAACCAAATAATTCCAATAAATGTCCAATACAGAGGACAAAATAGTGATTATATTTTTTTCCCTCATTGATACGGCACATAGAGTAAGACATTTATTTTAAAAGAATGCCCAGGGCTGAGTGTAGCAAGTACTGAACAGTTTCACATCACTGCCTTCCCTGCAAGTAGTTCAGTGCCCATACATGCAGGCAGATTCCCCAGTAAATTAATATGGATATGAAAACGCCTGAAGTCCAAAGAAGCTACTGAATTTTTAAAGCCAGTGCTTTAAAAATGGTATCAGGCATTAGGGATCCCAAATATGGACATAAGAATGTAATTTTGTGCTTTATGTATTAAAAACTAGGATACTAAATGTTATAAAAACACCATTTTGCTACATCTAACCTACCTTATGCATATCTTCATACTTGAGAAAAAGTACATTGGCATCCATGTGGTGTTCCCAAAACTCTTGCACATGTTCAAACCAGGAACCATATCCTACTGCAAAAACATTATGATTGGCATGAAGAAAATGAACACTTTGGTTATTAAGCTGTTTTCAGAAAGAAAAAAAAAAAAAAAAAAGAAATAACTGGAGTGGTTCATAGCCCCAGGAGAGCATCTCGTTTTGACCCATGTAATGGGAGACCTAACCCTCCCCCCAGAACTTTTTTCCAGTTCTCTGATTAAGTCCACATTTGCACTGATTTCAGTCAATTTATGTGTCTCTACCAGAGGTTCAGCAACTGGTACTTGGTATTTACAACCTCAAGAATCTCTTTTGTTGCCAGTATTACAAGGCAACCCCTCAAGAAATGCATTCTACATTTTTCTCTGCTACCAGTGACTAAATTTCCTGTGCATTACAAACCTCCCATTTGTACAGTTATGGCCATGGAACATGTTGTGATGTTTTACTGGCTCTGGGAGGTCGTGATAAAGTCAGGTGGCTGCTACAAGATAAAGAGACAAATAACTCTTGGGATACTTACATGGAAAAGAGCACCCAACCTTTCTATCTTAGAAGACCTTCTAACATGTATTTATTATGTCTCTGGTCTTGAAGTTCCTGATCAGAAGCTACAGGCAAACATTGCATTCCCAGGGAATACAAATGGAATACTGAAGGTGGGCTGGAGTGGGAGGAGAGCATTAATCCTGCTCAAGCTTGCAGGATAAGGAGCAGCAAGGGGGTTTTTAGGCCTGTTAAATCACCTCCCATCGGTAGGCTTTACTTTTTTCTTCCCTTTGGTATTACACAGCTCCTTCAGCATCAGCTCCCCTAAATTCCAGGTTTGCTGGTCTGGATCTAGAGGAGATCCTGCTCTCAGAGCTCAAGGTACCTGGTGAATTCTATGTGTCACATTAAGGTATCAGAGGAGATATTGCAGAAAAACAAAAGGCAGCAGGATTTTTTTCTCTTCCTTAGCTAGAGTGTGGCAGTCCCTTGGTTATTATTCTCCTCACAGAGCTGCATTTTTCAGGCAGCAGCAGCCTGCTCATGAGTTCTCGCTCGAGCTCACTGGTGCAGCCTGAGATAAGGCCCATGCAAACTAGAGGATTTTGTGTTAATTTCCAAGGTATGAGCCTTGAATTTTTGGCTGAAATTTAAATATTAAAGGAATTACCAGGAAAATAACCTGAAACCTGAGGACCAGAAACACTCCTGAGAAATAGCTGATAATGAGGCATAACTGAAATCAAATGATGCTGGGAGGAGTATTCACCCCTTTTTAGGAGGTACCTGGCAGCCTGAAAACTGAATTTCAGAAGAGTACACCAGAGTTTTGCTCCGGTTTGCGTGGCAAAGTGCTGAACCCAGGGGGTCAAATACTGTAAGGCAAATATTTACAAAAAGCCCAGCTCATAGTTTGCATGGACAAATCTCAATCCCCGCAGAGCTATCCGTAGCAACCTCCTTGCTGTATATGCAAAACAAATGCACCTTTATCCAGTTCACTTCTGTACTTGCAGAAGGAATGCAGAGATGAAAATAAATGTGTGCAGAGAGAACAGCTCCTTACACTTGTCATTCATAAACCTTCTGCAGAACTCCTGAAACGTTCCTCTGTAGCTCATGGTCCTTAGGGAGCGGTGGAACTGGTAATAAGACACCACCAGGTCTTTGGGATTTCGAGCCATGTATATTACCTGTGATGGGGGGAAAATCATCTTGTTGAAAGCTTTTGCCTCATCCCAAAGCACTGACACAACTGCTGCCAGCAGAGTTAAGACAAACACGAGCTCATTTTCACCTTTGAGTTGCCGTTGTGCAGGTCCGAAGGCAAAAACCGATAGGGCAGGTGGCTTTTGATGAGGCGAGGGGACGTCAGCTCCTAAAATAAAGCAGGGAAAATTGTTTCCCATTGACCACTGCTCCAGGGAACATCCTGAGCTGGCCTGAGCTGGCACACTTGAGGCCCTCTACTACACTGACTTCCATTCACAAATTCACTTCCTAAAATTAACAGGAGTTTGCGATTCAAAATCAGGTCAGAGAATTACATCTGGTTCTTAAATATCAAAAGGTTGGATAATGTGTTGGGGGTTTTGTCATATTGGTGTTTTATCCCTTTTGTTTCAAAGCATGTCCATTTGCATGACCTTCTCAGAAAGAGAATATAACCGTTGAAGATTCTCAATATCAAACTCACTTTATTTCCAGTGATGCCTCCACTAAAAATCCTTGAAAAATACTAGAAGTTCTGAAAACATGACCCCTGACTTCTTCCAAATTATACCCTTGCATTTTATTTTATCCTCAGAATTAGGCCCAAATCTGAATGTGTGAACATCTTTCAAACAATATTTTTCTGTAATTTGATAGGAAATTATCTCATGACAGAAATCATGCTCTGCTATTAAAAATGGAATTAATCCATATTGAATCAAGCTGCTAGCACATGGCATAGATAAGAATGTGTAATCTCAAACTAAACCTCTTACTATTGCCACCACTTTGTTGCAGCAGGGTAGCACTGAAGCCTTGCTGGATTAGGCATCACAGATGAAAAAGAAGAGCAATCTCTGACCTCTAAATATTCTCAGCCTAAAGTAGGCTGAAGCATGCCGTTGTCATTGAGCACAAGCAGCTTAATTCTATCCCTGCCAGCCTCAGCTTGCTCAGTCCAAGCAGCACTGCAGCTGTTACAGGATGGCCCTGTATAGTTGTCCTAATAATTCCAAGATGTGCCTCTGTCAGAAGTGGCTGAAGCAAGGACAAGATGACACTTATGTACCATACAGCTAGACTTCAAGGGATTCTTGATACTGTGGAATTTCATGCAGGATATTCCAGACCCTTCAAACTACACCCTACAGTGTCTGTAGAGAGCCAGGATCTGTGGATCTAAAGACTGAGATATGTAAAGTCAGAGCAATGGAAATACAGATGCATGGATAGCTGCATTTTTAGTTACTCTTTCACAAATTCAGGGAAGGAATCAAATTTGCCTCATTTAGCCAGCTCCCGTTTACATAAGCAGGAGAGGCCTGGAACTTTGATTCCCACTGCCAAGATATTTAGGACATGGAGACACATTTGAAGTATTAAACAGAACACAATAAAGCTTATTAAAAGCAATTTAAAATGACCTATTAGCACTTTGCATCATTGCAACATTCTAAACAAGTCCAGCGAGGAGAAGGACACAGGGTGAAATGAAGTGATAAACATGGAACTGAGGAAAAAGACACTCAAATGCTGAAGACTTTCTTTGCAATAAATTGTACCTTGATGATGTCCAGACCGGGCTGAGGGTACTCTAGGACTGGAAGCTGCTCATCTATATTCATTAGTCCAATCTCATCTGGATCAGCTCCCTGACTCACTAGATACACCACTTCCTGCAGCAAGCCTGTGCCTGCAAAACCAAACAATGAGAGAGAACAGATTGTATTACAGTTCTTATCTAAACACAGCCATATGAAGGGAGACCTAAACAGAGAAATAATGGCAACTTTTGTCCTCCACAGTCTGCTGTGAGCTAAGTCTATTACTACTGTTTTATTGTAGTATGTCAGCTCTCTTGGTTTTTTAAATACATGTAGATCTTCCATGCAAAAGATCTGAGATTTTTTTTCTTCAGTAACAATTTAAATACACTTCTGTTTCCAAATCACTTAACCTGTGAATTGCAAAGCATTTAACAAAAGGTTTTACCTCTGTAAATGTTACTTTGGCAAAACACTACTATTTCCATTTTGGGAACTAAAAAATGAGGCGAACAGAGGTCATCCAAGTTCACAAAATGCATTAGTGGCTGTGCTGAGAGACCTTTATTCTAAATTGAAGGCAAGGTCCCAGTTATGCAATGAGAGTCTATTTATGCCTCCAGGTTATGGAGTGGATAAAACCCCAAATACATCCATACATCAGTCACAAGCTTTAGAAACCTCAATTATGCATCTCTCCCCACTCTGAGGACATTTACAAAGCACCCATTAGATATCATGGCCAGTGACTGCACTTTGGAAAATTAATAGGTGCTTCAATTAGGGCTTTGGACACAGAAGATATTCAAAATGACTTTATCTTCAGGCAGGTAGGGAACCCTCAAAACAGAGATATTTGACAGAGGGTTATGAAGAGAAAGGCTCTTGGTGAGATGGAGGAACAGAATGGGGAGAGATCACAATCAGCCAGGGGAGGGACCCCACAGTTCAGAAGATCCCAAGAGTGTGGGACACCCTGGAAACTGCAAAAGACAGACCCATTATTTAACCCATTATTAATTATTTACTGTGAGCAGTAAGGGAAATGAGACCAGGATTTATCCACTCTCTCGTGTTGCCTACAGGAACAAGTGATGGTTCCAGAACTGGTTACAAAGCCCAAGCCTGCTCCTGCATCCCAGCCTGTGGAATGGTGAACTGTAAACTCTGAGATCAACGACCATTTGAAAATAATTTGTGAGTTGCAAGTCACTTGTAACAGTCACTAGTTAATTCATGTTAACTAACAAGACAGTACACACAAATAGGCACCTTTGTACCAATCCTGTATGTTGTTCCAATTAAAAAAAAAATAAACCCAAAAAAACCAAAAAAAAACCCCAAAAACCACCACCAAAATACAAGACCTAAAACCCTAATAGAATTTTTTATCATATATTAAAAAATAAATGTCCGTTTATTTGAGACAGAAACAGTTAAGTGAGGCCAATGGTTGCAGTGAACACAGCCTGGATACAATGTGAAAGAAGACACACCTCCAAGAATCGTCTTGGATAGCAAGCACTTCAAGATTCCACTGTTCTCTTACTGATTGATGGGTAAATTAAAAAGGATTGGGACATGAAAAAAAAAAAAAAGACACTTTTATATTATCATCACCCACAGAGACAGTTGTCACACACTTAATACACACTTGCCCCCAAGGCTGTTCACTCTGCATTTTTAAGTTCAAGCATATATTTTATGCATTCAAATCAACATTCATACAGTACTTTAGTATCAGTCCTTGTGACTCTGAATGAGCACAACCCTTGTTCTCATTAAATATTTATTCTGACCGGAAACACCCTGGTTCTCCATAATTTATTTCAGTATTTCCTATTCCACCTGCAAAGAGAAATGCTATCACAGCAGCCCTATTTTCATGAAATGAAAAGAATTAACTCTGTGGGGATACACAATAAACTATTTTTTCATTGCTCAGCTGCTGTCTAGGCAGAAAGCTGCCATCTCTATTGTGCCTCTGAATACAGAAAGGCTGCAGGGTTGAGGGAGAACCACACTGAACCTTCGGGAGAGCAGCACCAGCTCCCCACAAAATCCACCAGAAAAGGAAAAAGTCAGGACAGGGAGCACAGCCCCCAGGGGAGCACCCCCTTACCTGGTTATGCCCAGAGACCTGTGACTGTGCACCAGACTTGGCTTGATTGCTGTCAAATCCATGGAGAACTGCAGAGGTGGGAAATTACATATTTCCCATCCAAAGTGGGGGTTTTGGAAGCTCAAAAGTCTCCATCTAAAAGTGTTTCCACCAAAACTGGTGACACGTTCAAAGAGAAATGCTGGGACTATCCAGTAGGCTGGAATTTCTCCTCCCTACACCTGCAGCAGGATCATTCATCTCAGTTTCCCTCAGCCATGATCTCTGTTCTAGTTTTCTCTTTTGTTAGTCACTATATGTTTTCCCTGATTTTTTTTTAGCCTGATTTTTTTCCCACATTAGCACTCAAGTTACTATGCTTCAGAATTTCAGGGTCTTAATGCAAATGAAAACTAGGAAATTAACTTTTGAGGGAACAGTGATTTTTTTTTTAACTTGTCACCCTTAATCAATTATTTACCACACACGCAAATTCCAAAAGCTCCAGGTAAAAAATTTATCATTGACATGGTTTCCTGTTTAAAAGAACAAATTAAAATATCACATGCCTAATTTTTTAGAAAAAAATCTAAAAGCTTTTATAAGTATAATTAGATAGATATGACCTCCTCACATCTCTGCTAGGACCAAAACCCACTCAAATTATATGTATCAGAGCTAAATGTTCTTTTCCTTTAGGAAGGATGACTTAACCTAGCAACAGGCAGTCCAAATTCCAGACCTGGCTGCTAGGGAAACATCTTCAACCCTGGGAACACCATCTGGCTGAAAAGCCAAATAAGGTGGGATACTGTACCTATCCAAAAAATGAAGAGCCTAGACCTGGGGTAGCAGAATTTATTAAAATGCCATAGTGTGATGGGATCTGAGTCTTCTGCTGCATACCCACCTGTATGTAACATCTACAGAAATTTGCCATTTGACCCAGCTGACTTAGTGATCTCTGTGGAGATTTGCAAGAACCATCATTTTATGGATGGAAAGTAGAGTAAAATTCTGAAATTGAGAATATCAAAGGAGATTATGTGAATAATGCCAATAATCCCAGTCTAACACAAAGCCTGGCCAGATTCAAATGTCACAGAGACTTTCTGACAAAAAGGAAAATAATGATACCAGTTGGACAGAAGAAAAAGGTGAGGCAAGGAGAGGAGAGGAGAGGAGAGGAGAGGAGAGGAGAGGAGCGGAGAGGAAAAGAAAAGAAAAGAAAAGAAAAGAAAAGAAAAGAAAAGAAAAGAAAAGAAAAGAAAAGAAAAGAAAAGAAAAGAAAAGAAAAGAAAAGAAAAGGAAAAAGAAAAGGAAAAAAGAAAAAAAAAGAAAAAGAAAAAGAAAAAGAAAAAGAAAAAGAAAAAGAAAAAGAAAAAGAAAAAGAAAAAGAAAAAGAAAAGCGTGCCCCTACATTTCTGGCCCTGCCAAGGCAATGGATGTTGTGCATCTCCAGTATCTTCACTGCTTCCTCCCTGTGCTGCTGAACACCTGCACATGTACATGCACACCTCACTTGGGATGGTACAGAAGGATAAACACAATAGGATAATCACTGAAAAACAGGATTAACTGCCAGCCTTTGGACATGAGGCACCGAATGCCACATTAATAAGTTCCCAGCAATTCCACCCTTTCTTCTTCCATCTGCAACATTTCATTCAGGAGGAAGACTGCTCACCCTGCTACCTCTAAGGTCATATTGCCAAAACAGACATGGAATTCATGAACACTTATCCAATTCCAGCTAAAATGGAGGCAGTCTGCATCTGAGGAACTTCAGTGCAAAGTACCTGAGAAATGCTCTTCCTGACAAGCTCCTCTGCTGTGTCAATAAAACGCCTCAGAAGAACAGAGTGTTCCAATTTATCACACAATATCTGGAAAGAGAGGGGGTGGGAAACAGCTGTGAGAAGCTACTACCTGCCAGAATCTGCAGGTGCCTTTAGGAGACCTTTTAAAATTATCCGTGAGCCTGTATTTCTATACCCTGCATAACAGGAGTCTGCTGGTGGGGATGCACTGTGCTTTCCTGGGCTACTTAATGATGCACAGGAACCAGGACTCATTACAAATCCCACCACACCCCAGCAGTCTCTGTGACTGGGAACTCTTCCTTGGTGCCCTTTCCATGGCCAGTGCCTCAGCAGAACGAGCAGAGTCAGACCAGGGCCACTCTGCCTCTGCTCCTCGGGAGCTGCTGCAGCAGCAGCCATGCAGCACAGGGAGACAGACACGGCTCGGAAACACCACAGCTGCTCCTCCTGCCTTCTGTGTGTTACGTGTCTTCAATGTCAAATTTAGTCATTGTGTTCTCTAGTGCAGATGTTCTCTGGCTTCTCGCAACTCTTTCTGGCCACTGGCAGTCCTATGAAGTCACCAGGTATCACAGATGTCAAAGTCAAGTGGCAGATATAAAACCATAAGATTTCCAGTGAAATTTCACTTCTCTAGGTGGTTCCTAAGGTAGTTTATTTCAGTTTCTCCTCTCTTATCAGCTAAGACAGGACAAAGCTACAGCCTAAGGATGCAAGGGCCTTGGTATATTCCCTTTACTCGCTCCTTGTATGGAATCACATGGAAAATTAAAATAAAGAAATACTAATGCTAGTAATCTTACAACCCCAATTATCTGTACTTTGTTTGATCTGCCAGAGCTTGACCAGATTTTGGCTAATCCAGTGCAGCAGATCCATTATGACTCATAACTTTTTTATAGCATTGGTAGATGCAAGAGCTCATTAAAAGTGAGGGCTGCCAAAGCTGCCAGACTGGTCTGTAAGTGCTGTACAGCAGAGCCTCACACTGTTGTTCTAATTGCCTGCAAGCTCATTCCTCCTTGGCCAGTTGCAGTGTAAATCTTCAGGTCAGTATGTCAGATTCATTCTCACCCTACAATACTGGAGGGAAAATTAGATTTTCCATTAGAAGAAAAAAAAAACATTTCCAAAACATTAAAGTATCTCCTCTTGAGGTCTATATGCTGAAGTTCTCCTACAAATTTGAATTCCACCTGGCTTACGAATAGAGGTTTTCATTAAT